GTTGGTTTTATATTTTTAAATAGTGAAGCAAGAAACATAATGTCTCATTATCTCTGAAAGGATTTGTGGCATGCAAATCTCTCGATAAGATCACAGCAGGGTCCTTCCACTTTGGGGGGAGGGGAGAAGCTTCAAGAAAGTCCTTTTTTTTCCCCCTCTACTAACTGTGGATTGCCAGTTATCTCCTGTTTCCACACTCTGCATAAATCTAATTTAGGTATTTAAAAAAAAAAGACACTCTAGACATTATTCTGGATTGGCAGCTTCAAAAACACATGTGGTTTCAAGACTTCATTGCAGATCTGAAGCAAATTATTTCTGTAAATGTGTGAAATTTTGACTTTCATAAAAAATGGCTTGGATGCATACGAGTTAAAATCTATTTGGGAAAACCACAGTGCCTGACATTTCTTCTCCATTATTTTCCTGGAGGTATGAGGACTCCGTTATGATTTCAGCTTTCTGAAGTATGTGCTCTCTGGAGGGGCTTTCCTGTGCTTTCCTGGGCACAGTTCTACCCAAGAGCATCAAGAAAGCAGCTATCTGCTCTGCCATCTGCTGAGGGCTTCTTGACTCAGGAGAGTGACTAGTGATTTCTCCCTGCAGAAGTCCACGTCACTGCGGTAGTGTGGTTGTTTCACAGAGGGACAGCCACACCTTAACATTTTTAAGCTACCATGACAACATGTTACTTTAAAGTCATTTTTTTTTTTTTCTGGTCGGGCAGTTACAGGATTTAACTCCTAAGCAGACGTTGCATTTGAATAAGATAACCTTTTAAAATAGTGTTATAAATAGCACATGACCAAGAGGATTTTCTTTCAATTACCTGGTGTCTGAGGACAGGTCATTCTAGCCAAATGTTTGCTATCTCCTCAGTTCCTGAAGTTAATCAATAAGACACAGCATGCTGACCAACAGCGGCTCACGCCTCCAATCCTAGCACTTGGGAAGACCAAGATGGGAGGAGCCCTTGAGCTCCAGTTCCATCTCCACTAAAAAATAGAAAAATTAGCAGTTGCTGCGTTGGGCACCTGTAGTCCCAGCTACTTGAGAGGCTGAGGCTGGAGGGTCACTTGAGCCCAGGAGTGTGAGGTTGCTGTGATCTAAGCTGATGCCACAGCACTCTAGCCTAAGCAACAGAGAATCTGTCTCAAAAACAAAACAAAGACAAACCAAAACAACACAACACACTCAAGACCCGGCAGGTTTTAACCAATCTCAATACAATTCCTTACTTAAAAAGTAAGTCCACAGGAAATTCTTCAGGTTGCAGTTTGCTGTAAGACAGATACAAACTAATATTTCATGAACTAACAGTCCCTGGTCCACCAGCGGGAGACCCTCCTGGGTGTGCGCGATTGTCTCTGGGTGTCTGTGTGTTTGTGCTGGCCGCCATGTCTGTGTGAGGATGTCTCCACTCCCAAATAAGACCTTTCCTGGGGTGGGGTGGGGAAGCCAAGCAGAGAAATCTGCGGAAACCATTTATATTTGAGACCAGGTGAGAGGAAGAGGTGCTGGGTCTGAAGGAGGGGTGAGTGGAACTGGGGGCTCAGGCCTGCTACCCTCGGCCCTGCACCAGGACAAGGAAGGCACCCCTGCTGGGACAGTTTAGTCCATACCATGGTCTGAGTCCGTTTCAAGGACAATATGTGACCTGCTACATTGATAACCAAGTAGAGGTGGAAATGCAAAAAGAAAACAAAAAGAAGTGCCCATTTTCCAGGCTCCAAGCCTGAGCCCAGCTCTTCTTAGCCCCAAGGGGAGATAGCGCTATGGCGACGGTACCGTCCACTTTCCTATCTGTGGGACCCTCCGGAGCAGTACTTTGTCACTGTCCTGTAAAAAGAAGAACGGCAGGGCGTCTGTTTAGCAGAACTTCTGTTAGGAGCTCCGCATATGTTATGTCGCTTAACTCCAAACCAATGTGGTCCGCAGGTCTTCCCAAAGCTCAGAAGAGTCAGGACCGGTCCCGGTGGGCAGGCAGGTAGTACACGGGCAGAGATAAGCCTCAGACCCGGGCTTGTCTTCCAAAGCGGGTCCTCTTTTGATGGCACTGAATGCCATGCTGTGGTCAATGAGAGGGCACAAGCACCAGGTTGCGGCCTGGCCCCCAAGCTCTTCTTGATAAACAGGGAAGGGCAGATGCCACACGCCACAGAGCCCCTCGCTGGCAAGATTCTGTTTCTGGGGAAAAACACCTTGCTCACGTCCAGTGACAGTGAGAGAGGGAGGGTCACTAGGAGTCCAGGAAAGATCCACATGTACCTGTCAACCAAACACGTGCAGAGACCAGCTGGGACCACAGGAGACAAACCCAGCTGCACGTTTCAGAAAAAAGGCTCCACCTCTCTGGACTATCACTTCTTCTAGAAAGCCCCTGTCCCCGCCTCCCTGGACTGTCCCTTCTTCTAGAAGTCCCTTTGCGTGTTCTAGGCTCTTTATCAGCTCAACAAAATGCTGAAATGCAGATGTTTCTCTGGCTGTGGAATCATAAAACCCAAGAGAGTCTAAGGGGCTTCTCAAGCAGCCAAGACCGCTCTGGTGGAGGCTGGGCCTTCCTCGCCAGACTCAGGTCCTCTAAAGGTATTTTGCAACCAGGGCTCGTCCCCACACACCGCTGGGAGGGCTTATGGCGTCCAGAAGTTACGTTGCGTCCCCTTGACCTCCCCATACTTGGTATGTGAGGTTGCATAGGAGCAAATGTTATGAAATAAAATAGGCACTGTGCACATAAATAACAGACCTAAATGGGTATAAAAATCTCTAAAAATCTTTTTAAAAGTAAAAGAGGAACTTTGTCACTTGATAATGACCCCCTGCACACGCTTCCTGTCAGATAACGCTGTGTCTCACTTTTATCACCTCACTCTTCTTCTTTTCCCCTCAACTTTATGTTTTTTTATTTGACATGTAATGTTTGTACACATTTAGGGCACATGGTGACATTACGGGGTAATGTGCAGTGATCAGATCAGGGCAGTGGTGCATCTGTCATCTTAACCATTGTCATTTCCATGTGCTGAGAAATTTAGTATCCGCCTTCTACCTGTTTGAAACTAGGTGTTTTAATTTAGTCGCCTGTGCTAGAGAACTGGGACTCATCCTCCTGTCCAGCTATAACTCTGTATCACTAACAAGCCTCCCCCAGCCGTCCCTTCACCTGGCTGGTCCCAGCCTCTGTACTACGTTTCCATCTACATCAGCTCCTTTTAGCTGTCCTGGGGTATGAACCTCCTGCTCCAGCTTTTGTCACCTGACGTGAGGGCCTCCACTTCCACCTGTGCTGCTGCGAATGACAGGATTTCACTACTTCTTACGGGTGAATTGTATTCCACTCTTTAAATATATGACACTTCATTTCATCTGTTACTGGACAACTGGGCTGATTCCATGCCTGGCTGCTGTGAACAGTGATGCAGTGAACCCGGAGGGGAGAGGTCTCTTCGATAACTTCATTTCCTTTCCCTGGATAAATGTTCAGTCGTGGGGCGGCTGGGGCCTCTGCTGGTTCAGTTTGCAGGTTTTTGAGGAACCCACATGCTGCTGTCACAGTGGCTGGACTAGCTACCCTCTCGCCAGCATTAAGAGTTCACTTTTCCCTGCCTCCCTGCCAGCACTGGTTACCTTGTGTCTGTCTAGTAACAGACGTTCTAACTGGGGCAAGAGGATCCTTGATCCTGGTTTTGTTTGCATTTCCCCGATGATTAGTAATATGGAGCATTTTTTCATTTCTTGCTTGGCCATTTGCATGTCTTCTTTTGAGAAATGTCTGTTCCATCACTTCCCATTTTTTAATCAGATTTGTTTTTTGCTGTAGAGATGTTTGAGTTCCCTGTGTGTTCTGGATATTAAGCCCCATTAGATGAACTGTCTGCAAATATTTTCTCTTATTCTGCAGGTTGTCTTTTCACTTTATTGAGTGTTTTCTTTTCTGTGTAGAAGTTTTACTTTGATATAATCCTATTTATTTGTTTTTGTTGTCTGTGCTTGTGAGATCTTATTCATAAAATCTTTTCCCAGACCAATGTCCTGAAGCATTCCCCCCTATGTTTTTTTCTAATAGTTTTATAGTTTGGGGTCTTACATTTAAGTCTTTCATCCATTTTGATTTGATTTTCGTATAGGGTGACAGGTGAGGGGGTCTAGATTCATTCTTTAATTCAGCAAGTTAGGTGAAGGAAAGAACCTCAGCTTATTAAAGGCCTGAGTGGCTAACCCAAAGCGAACATCACACTGGATGGGGAAAATTGAGAGCTTTTCCCTAAGAACTGGAAGAACACAGGAGTTGCCTACTCTCGCCGTCTCCATTCAGAAGAGTCCCAGATGTCCTAGCCAGAGCAGTCAGGCAGGATAAAGAAATAAAAAGCATCCAGTTTGGAAAAGAGTAAGTCAAATTGCCCATTTGCAGACAACATAATCAGGCATGTAGAAAAACAGAAATACCTAAAGACACTAAGAAGAAGAAGAAAAAAGCTTAGAACTGTTAAAACAGGTCAGTAAAGTTGCAGGATATAAAATCAATATACAAAATTCAGCAGTGTTTTTATAGACAAAAAAAAAAAACAGCTGAAAATGAAATCAAGAAGGCAATTCTGTTGACAATAGCTACAAAAAACCAAACCAAAACAACCCCCCAAAAACAAAACCCTAGGAATAAATTTAACAAAGGAGGTGAAAACTACAAAATGCTGATGACACTGATGAAAGAGACTGAAGAGGACACAAGTGGATAGAGAGACCCGGGCTCAGAGACCAGGAGAACTCATATTGTGAAGATGGCCACACTCCCGAGGCAATCTACAGACTTCATGTAATCCCTGTCTACATACCAGTGGAATTCTTCATGCAGATAGAATGAAAACAAATCCTAAAATTTGTCTGGGACCAAAAAAGACCCCTAATAGTCCAAATAACCCTGAACAGCAACAACAATAACAAGAAAAAAGCTGGAGGCATCACACTACCAGACTTCAAAGGCAGTACCCAGCTGTGGAAACCAGCTCAGCATCTTATGGGCAGGAAAGCAGACACACAGACCCATGGGACAGAATAAAGAGCCCAGAAATTAATCCATGTATCTACAGCTGACTGATTTTTGGCAAAGGTGCCAGGAACAATCATGAGGGAAAGGACAATCTCTTCAACAAATGGCATTAGGCAAACTGGATGTTTGTTCTCCTTTCCAGGTGAATGTCTCACGTGTGGTGGCATCTGCTGGGGACCTGCCCTTCCTCTGCCACCTGCTGCCCCTCACGACATTGGTCCTCACCTGAGACACTGTTCTCCATCCCTCATTCATCCCTTCAACCAGGACATGAGCCACGTGTGAGATCTGTCTGGGATAAACCTACACAATCATAGATACCCACACATTACCAGTAAAGTGACCAGACATCTTGCTTTTGATGGGACAGTCCTGATTTTTAACAATTTGTCCTGCATCCTGAGGCGTTTTTAAAAAGTCCCAGTTTTTGGAAAGAATGCACGACAAGCTAGGGAATGGGTGGGAGAACAGGAAGGGAATATATGGTTTTCGGCTGCCATGTGGCTATTTTGCCAGGATATGAGTTTTATATTACTTTTGTTAATTTTATAATGTTAAACTGTAATAATAAAAAATAATTGTTGAGAAGTGATTATTGAGAACTGCTAATCAAAGTTTGCATTGTTGTCAGGCCCTGCCCCACCCCCCCAATGGTGTCCCACTTTACCAATGTTAAAATCTGGTCACCTTAATTGCCAGACATAGTACAGCCAGAAATTTGGAAGATTAACCAGAAAAGCCAAGTTAAATACACCCTGCCACACACACAGAGTTAAAGGCTCTGAAGATGATGGAACACATCTTTGAGGCCCTGGGTAAATTTATACCAACAGTTCTAGATTTAGTGAAATTATTAAATAAGTACATGAGAAGATTAAAGCAGATGTAGATAGTCAAAGCCTAAGAACAGTGACTCTCTGCACGTTCCTCAGGAAGTAACTCTAGGATGTTCTCCTAGGGAAGGAGCCCAGGAAACAGGAGTAGAGAATTCACAAAGCAGGGCTTTGGGCCCAGGTATTCAACACCAGAGCACAGCAGCCTCGCTGGGCTCTTTGTAGCCCAGAGGGTCTCTCTGTTCAACAGGCCAGTAGTTTTTTTCTTCCTTCAGTTTCTCCACATGCAGTATGATTTGCATACAAAGTAGTTGATATTCTGATCTGGTAGGTACTCCTAGACATGTACTCAGGACTGCACCCTCCATACTGAGTTCCCAAGTGCGGCGGTTGAGGATACATAACTGAAAAGACCATGACTTATTAAGGTTAAAGGAATCATCCTTTATTTAAATTCCGAAATGGGCAACAAAAGGGATGAAAGTGAAGCAACATCATTACTATATTAAAAACCAATTTTATCCCAATTGACTAAAATTAAACAATTTGTAATTGAACAATACTTTGAGGTTCCATCTTTATTCCCAAATCAACTCCCACAGTCCACTGGTGGACTCGGGCACTCACCAAGTGTTGACTGAGTAGCTGGTAGAGTCTAGGCATTATACTAAACATTGACTACGAGAAAAGAATAGGAACTCTCTTGTGTTTAGACTGCTAGGGAAAACAAAAACATACACCAATAACTAAGGTCAGTAATGTTTAAAGAAGATAGAGACGTCGTGGGAATGTGAGTAGAGTTCGTTTCCTCACTTCAGTAGGGTATTACGTATTTTCAGGTGTTTAATACCTGAAGACCACCTATCCAATTTCTCCTCCTTGGAAAATTTTTAGTGATTACTACATTGCTAGGACATATTATTGGTAGCTCATTTTTATTTAGGATACAGTTTATCAAAATAAGATTACAAGTATTTATGATCAAATATAACCGTAACTTATTTCATTTACAAGGGCAAACTTTAATCTTACTTGCAATTGCCAATCTTCAGATCTTTTACTCAGCTGTAATTTTTTCATGTTCTCTCTCTCTTTTTTTCCTTTAACAATTTAATACCAATGACAGCCTTTGGATTTACACCAAATGCATCCATCATTAATCTTTGGCAATCTGCCCTCTCCTTTTTGTCTTTTCATAAAGTCTAGTTCTGAATCTTAATTCTGAGACTGCATTATTAGGTGGTTGGGTACATTAGTGCCTTTAGAAATGGCTCTTTAGATGAGTGTTTGCTGACATTTGCAGGCGGGGGGTGGAGATGGGTGAAGAATTAGTTACTACTTCCCCAAGAATGACAGTCTAAGGGGAAAGATAAATATTTGCAAACAGCTGAAAAACAAGACAACAGTACAGGTCTAGAAAGGCAAAAACTCAGCAAGTTCCCCTTCCAAGCACCATTTTGTAAGAAGGCAAATAAGCTATATTTTCCACTCAAGCCATCTCCTCTGCCCCAAGGGCAACAGGACGTGGAGATGGAGGATAGTCCCTCCCCAAGAAGCTCACAGACGGTGTGAGGAGGAAAGCACAGTGGACTGCAGAATACCCAAGCACAGGGAGACCAGGCAGGATCCACAGGGACCAGGCAACGGCATGACTGAGGGAGAACAGGTTGGCTGGCCCTCGGGGCTCTGGAGAGGCACCAAGGACAGGTGCACATGGCTCTCAGGTAATGCAGGGAAGGTGCACCCCTGCCGAGTCAGGAAGGGCACAGTGGAGGCAATGTGTGCAAAGGTGGGACAGTCCCCTGCTTGATTGGCTACCTCTTTCTCCCTTTCTCTTTTTCTCCCCCCTTTTCTCTTTCTATTCTTCGCCCATCTTCCCTCTTTCTCTCAGCTTCAGTTCTAATCTGTTAAGTAGGATGATCAATAGAAATAAATGGCCTTATTGTTAGGAGGAATAACTGCACCAATACCAAAACCATGCTTCCAGAGTGCCCAGGAGGATGGGCCTGAGCAGCAGGCATCATTCATCACGAGGCACAGGAAACTGAGGCTTAGGGACGCTAGTAACTTGCCTGAGCCAGCCCAGAGCACCTGGCTACCCTGACAGGAGAGCTGGAAGACACTTCCAGCCACCACAGCGCAGGGACTTCTAGCATGTGACTGTGGAATAGGACACTGTGGGGAAGCCCAGGCACCCAGGCCACAACATAATCATAAAGTACCAGTAGCCAGCTCTAAAGGGCATTAAAGTCTGCAGTGCATTAAAAAACAACGATGGCAATGACAAAGTTCAAATTCAAATCAACTGCTGACTGCTGCACCCAACCCCTAGACCAAGGATTGATAAATTATAGTTGGTTGGACACATTCAGCTCATCACCTGTTTTTGTAAATAATGTTGCACTGGCATACAGTCATGGCCATTCCCTCACCTCCTGTCTGTGGCTGCTTTAGCATGTCTTGGGAGAGTGAAGAAGGTGCATGAGAGAAGACCCTGTGCCTGGAGAACCCTAAGGTATTTGCTTAGATAGCCCCTCCTGGGAAAAAACTACTAGTCCCTACCCTATCCCATAATAGCAGCTAGAAAGAAGGCCGCTGTGACCATTTTCAGAAGGAAATTCTACTTATACAAGTCTCTACAATTCTGTTCCACATGTCATGTTTAATCAAAAATTTAAGAGAGATCTAAAGAGGAGGGAAAAACAATGGAAGATGATAGACACTGGAACTAGTAAAGAAACACTTTAAAATAACTGTGGTAATAGAGTAAAAAAAATCTAGTGGGAAAATGCATAAGTGCAGAAGTGCAGCAGGAAAAATAAATTATGAGAAAGAATAAAGTGGGGATGTAAGAAATGAAAAGCACTCTCACATCTAAGGAGCTCTGTGGAGGATCCCATCAGTAGAGAGGACACCCCCAGGGAACAACCAGTGAGCCTGAAGAGAGTCAGTAGAAATCACCGAAATGAAACACACAGGGAAAAGTATAAAAACAAAACTGAGCATCTGAGATCTGTGGGAAAATATAAAACCAATTTGTGTGTAACGAGAGCTCCAGAGGAGAAGAGAGAGAGAGAGTGGAACAGAAAACACATGGGAAGAGATGGTGACTGTGGATGTGCCAAGATTTAATGAAAGACAGCAAACCGCAAGTCCAAGTGCTCAGTAAGCCACACTGGGACTGCTTTAGCAAGTTTTTGAAAATCAAAAATTTGTATGAGGGCAGCATCTATGACTCAGTGGGTACGGACCTGGCCACGTACACTGAAGCTGGAGGGTTCAAACCTGGCCAGGACCAATTAAAGCCACAATGACAACTGCAACAACAACAACAGCAATTTGTATGAGAACAAAAGTATTTCTGAACCCCTTATTCTGTCATGTTGGTTTGCAGGTATATGTTTACAATGATGTCACTTGGCTGTGATTAGTTTTGCCATTCTTAAAACATAATATAAGACCTCTGACTTGCAAGGTTGTTTTAGCATTTCCTATACATTTTAGAACCAGCATGATTAATTTCTATGAAAAAAATGGCTGCTGAGATTTTAATTGAGAATATATAGAATATAGAAGACTTAGAAAGTAGACATCTTTTTATTTCAAAACATCAGGGTGTATAAATGTTTTAGGTTATATAGACCACTTTTATAATTTTTGAGTCATGGCTACAGGTGTTCCTACCACCACAATAGTGTTCATTGTACCCACTATGTATCTTTTTGACTCTCCCCTTCTTCCCTCCGCCAACTTACTTGATTTCCACTGAATTTTACTTCCCTCTGTGCACACTGGTTAGTTCCAATTTAATAGTAAGTACATGGTGTTTGTTTTTTCATTTTCACTTAGGAGAATGGTCTCTAGTTCTATCCAAAGTGTTGCAAATTTGCAAAGAAGACAAATTCATTATTTTTTTATGGCTGAGTAGTACTCTATGGTATGTGTGTACACCATATTTTATTAATCAACTCATCAACTGATGGGCAACTTGGGTTGATTCCACATATTGGCAATTGTGAATTTTACTGCAGTAAACATTCAAGTGCGGATGTCTTTCTGATAAAATGACTACTTTTCCTTTGGGTAGGTACCCAGGAACGGCATCTCAGGATCTAGAGAAAGGACTACTTCTAGTTCTTTGAGAAACCTCCATGCTGTTTTCCACAGAGGTTGTACTAATTTGCAGTCCCACCAACAGTGAATACGTGTTCCTTTCTCTCTGGATCCATGCCAGCATCTATTGTTTGTGGACTTTTAAATAAAAGCCAAGAATGGGCATCTTAAGGGCAGATACAGCATTCACTGAGAGCTTCCTTGAGAGCTGCTGTTTGGGGGAGATACACTGCCGTCTCACCTTATAATCACCTTTTAAAAAGAGCTTAGACAGAGAAGACATCCCTCCCCCCACAACTAATGCCCCCAAATGTCACCACCACCATACTTAGCACACTCCATTTGTTGACAAATAAAGTTCAGCATGTACGGTAAATTATTCACAGGACACCTCCTCCCATTAGCTATTCTCAGCCCTACTGGTTACTTAAAGAGTGAATCTGTATCTTGCACGTTATGTAGTAACTGGCTTATTCTAATAAAAAAAATATACCTCGTAAGAAAAAGTACAGAGAGAAAAGAAAAAGCACCCTATTTAAACAGAATGATGAGATAGTAAATAAACATGAACGTTTTACACTCAAGTAGCACCTGTCATGTAAATATTCAATAGTACTTTCTTAAAATTTATGTAATACTTTACATAATCAAAATAAACAGATGAAATATTAGTGTGCTCTAGAATAGACAATATGTTGGTAATAACACCAAAATGAAGACAAAACAACAAACTTGGTTTTTTGCCCAGGAATTACAGCAGTCTCCCTGGACGTAATCCGGGCATGACTGGAACCATCCTCAGAACACATTTGTGAGACTTAAGAGTTCCTCTGGAATTGCCTGCAACAGAAAGATCACCAGTACTTGAAAACAATGTATCATGAAAATAATCTTTAGATTAAAAGTCAAGTTTCAAAAACACACTTTCTTTTAGATAATAGGTTATTTATTTTCCCTAAAAGCAGTGAAGAGCTTCCTGGTCTGAAGCAAATGCCTGCAGCCTGGAAGTTTGAGAAGAGAGGGTGGGAGGAGCGTGTGAGGACTCAGCATGGGGTCCACAGGGTGCGGGGCTGAAGACAGACTGCCCAGGCAGGTGGCAAGGAGTCAGGCAGTCACACAGAAGGGGCCCAACCATCTGAAGGTAGTGGCAGAGACTGGGGCGGGACACAGAGAAGCAGGGTGTCCACCAGGACTGGAGCAGGGAGAAGGGGCTGTGGGCTCTTTAGGAGAAAGAAGTTGTTGTGGGTACAGCTCTGGACACCACTTTGCCTCTGATTTGCTTTGTGGCTCACAAGGCAGATTTTATTAACATTTGCATCCATTTATCTGTTTTAAAAAGGCAGGGGTGGGGTGGGAGATTATGAGATACACATTAAGAGCAGACTTAGAAATGGATGAATGTTGAACAAGCAAAACTGCCTTCATTTTACTGAATGACTATTTGCCACTGACCAGGGATTTTAGCACGTTATCTCTTCCAATTATACCGAAGTAATTCTAATAGACATTTTAATCTCCTGTTTAAATAACATGACCAGGGCCACACAGGCAGCAGAGATAAGCAGAGTGTAAAGTCCATCTTCCTATACCAAGCTGAACACACCCACCCCGATGAACCTGGCCTTCTGGGGCTCTGCTGCTCGGTGTAAAAACCAGGTGTAACGGGCAATGTTCAGATGTCAAACATGTTCTTTTGTACATACACACAAAAAATGGTATTTTCCTACTAAACAGTTCGATAGTGGTAGAAATGACCTTGTTTTAAGACATCTATACTTCCCTACTCCACCTCCGCCCCTCCCTGGGAGTTCTGCCTCTCCTGTAAATTTCTGTGCTGACACCTGGCTGGTCACAGGGTGTGGACAATGCATGTCGCATGGGTAACGGGTGAGCAGGAAGTCACACAGTGCGTTCTATTCTGGGTCTGAACATACCCTGCCTGCTTTTAAATCTTTTTTTTTCCCTGAAAATTACATTTATGATTGCACTGTGTCTGCATGATGGCCTATTAGATTCACTTCAGTAAAAATAAGCCATATAGTCATCTAACTACCCTGCAGCAAACGTGAGAGATCACACTGAATTTATATTCTATAGGAATGTACGTAAAAAGTATTAGACGATGATTACTATTTGTCTCAAAGGTAAGCTGGAACACCCTCCCCCCTGACATCCTGGAACACCTTCTCCCTCAGCCAGCCCTCCCCCCACCCAGCAGACTCACTCCCTTTGGTAATTCTGGGGCCAAGGTCACAGCTCGCTGCTAATTACTGAGAAAGCCCTACCCTCAGTCCAACTGCTTCCCAAGGACTATTAGCTGCTAGTTGCTGGGCACTGGGCTGAACTTGTGCATGGTTCCACTCAGACCTAAGGTGCATGTCCTCACCTCATACCACTGGGTAGTATGATCAACACGGGCCAACACTTTCATCATTTCATCTTGGACCACACACAGCAGGTGCCGTAAGACAGTAACCTAAACCCTGCCTGGAATCTTACTGGCTCACAGTCCTGCTACACTCGTCAGCTCTTGTCCTCTAGCACGGAACACACAAAACCCTCTACAATTCTTTCACATATCCCATTCCTTTAAACTTTAAAAGCATGGCCATTAAACTCTATTTTAAAATAAAAACTATTATAATATTATAGCTACAATGCAGTTTTCCATTTTGAATGTAAAACTGCCCATTTCTTTGTGCTCTTGGCATTTTACTTGAAAATGAACATTATGGTATATTTTAGGAGATAATTTATGTGGAAAAAAAACCACACCAAATGTCAACTTCCACCTGATTTGAACTGTTTACACATTCATAGGAAAGCCTAGTTGTTAACCTCGGAGAGGGTTCTTTGAGACTGCCCCTATAAGATCAACACGTTTCTCCCAATTAAGAGTCCGCAAGCTCCCCGCCCCCATTCAGTGGCCCTGGGAACAGAGGAAGGGGGTGGAAGGGGATAGAAGGGCACCCCAGGAATGGAGGTAAGCAGAAAGGAACCCGAGGAATGGAGAGGGGCGGGGCAGCCCTGGGGGTGGAGGGGAACAGAGGGAAATCCCAGGATGGGGGGAACAAAGAGGGACAGGGAAACCCGGGGGCGCAGCGGGACAGAGAGGACCCCGGAATCGGGGGAAGGAGAAGCAGTCGTGGGGATGGAGGGGGACGAGGTGGCCTTGGAGATGGACGGGAACAGAGAGGGACCCCGGGGAAGAAGGACGTGGGAGAACCCTAGGGACGGGGTGGCCTTGGGCTGGAGGGGACCAGCGGGGGACGCCAGGGATAGAAAGGGTCAGAGGGGGACTGGGCAGTCCGGGGACCGGGCGAAGCGGGCCAGGAGGCCCCTCTTCAGGGCGCTACGCCGGAACCGGGGCCCGGCCGTGGAGAGAGGGACTGCCCGGCCCGGCTCTCCCAGCGCCGGGTCCCCGGGCCCGGCTCCCCCGGCTCCGGCCGCGGGCGGACGCAGCGCTCGGCCGCGCACCTCCCAGCGCAGACTCCTCCGGCGCGCGGCCGCCCGCGCCTTAAATACCCTGCTAAAAATAGCCTGCGCGGCCTCCCTCCAATCGGCGAGGGCAGAGTTCGAATCGAGCCAATGGCGAGGCCCGCACAGGAGAGGCTCGGTCACGCCAGGCGGGGCCGCGGCTCGTCGCCGCCCGCGATTGGCCGGAGCTGACATCATCGGCGCGCGGCCCCCGG